TTTTTTTTTTCTTTCCTCTGGCAGCACACAGCCGGTATGGGACGGACGACAGAGTTAAGCTGCCCAATCTGACCGATGAGGAGGTGAACTGGCAGGAACTGGAGGACTTGTATAGCATAAACGAAAGCCTGTATGAATGTAGGCCTGACTACAGCCCCAGCCCAGACAACTGGGCCAACTTCCAGAAGGATGTAGATAAAATGTTTGCACTGAGACACGTTTTAAACAACCAAACCCAAAAGCTCGACAACTCCACCCTGCCAGAGCTGGGCTCTGGGGCCGGGGGTGGAGGCCTCGAAGACGGCAGCGGAGAAGAGCTGGCCTCTACCAGCGGCGTCTGGCCGGGCCCGGTCGCCACCCCCGTCCCCAGCAGAACGCCACCGGCACCGCCCGCACCAGGAAAGAAACCGGACCCCATTGTGAACGACCTTCCCGAGCACGTCGACGGCAGACTCGGGGGGTCGGCTCCGCCAGGCCGAGACGAGGCTGCGCTCCGGAGCGACGCGCRGCAGTTGGAGGAGATGGAGGGAGAAGCGTTCAGCGGGAATGGAATGACGGAGCTGGAAACGCAACACGACGGCGTCATGCGTACGCACACCAGCCTGCGAGCCCGATCAGAACCCGGACACGGTCTCGGCTTTGGGCTGGACCCTGATGAAGAGGAGGACATTTTCAAGGCCCAAGGCTACATCCCTTTCTTCCCRCAAAACCTGAGGCTGAAGGTGCAGGCCAGAAACCCCGCCCAGACTATCGGGGTGGTACTGAACACCCCCCCGCAGGCTTCTCTTCCCCTCAGCTTGGACTACGAGGGCAGCGGCTCTCCACCCTCCAATCAGACCCTCTGAGGCTCCAGCTTCTGGCTGCCAKAGACACACAGACGCTGTGATTAAGAGCTTTGCAGCAGCGAGTAACACCGCCTCAGTCAGTCTGAGTTGTATAAGTATTAAAATTGTTGATATATATTTTTATAACTGGTGCCTGCATTTATTAGTAAACAATATTACTAATAAATGTAAACAGCTTTTTCCCCCTGCTGTACATATAAATAGTATAAAAAGAAAAGCCTTCAGGCAGCTGAACTTCAGAGTTGGTATTGAAGATGATTATTTCCTTATAGATGCATTGATGTTTAATATTTAATAAAGTTGTTTTTATTCAWACAAACGGTGAGATGAAACCTTTTCAGCGGCTGAATGGACGATTGTTCAGTTTCGCTGCAGACATTAAGTGAACTGGTAATTTTGACGAAAACATTCAAAAACTAAAAGCTTCTATTTGAGGGAAAACATACAGAAAAGACATTACTTTGTTTGAATAATCAAGTCTTTTTGCACTTTTAGCTTATCAGCATGGCAGTCAATTAAGTTTAGGCCATCGAGTTTGTTTCTGTATAAGAAAAGCCATTGCATCATTGCGATGTGATGTTTGTAAATGTAACCAAAAAAATGTTGACTTGAATCTGCAGAAACTGCATAAAGTGCACCAGAACGACCTTTCTTCTGACAGGCTGTTCAATAAYGACTTCAAGGAAGACCATGATGCTGTTAATAAACTGTTTCAAACTCGAACCTTGTCCCACCACGTCTCGAACTCAATGACTCAGAAAAGTTGGGTTTTTTCAGCGTTTTTTTATTTTTATTTTTTATGACAAAAATCAAGTATTCAAGGCATTTGTAAACCAACTGTTCACAAACATCAATTCAACTTTTGCTCCTGAGGAACAACAAAAAAAAGTCTTCTGTGCTCGTAGTTCAGACGTTTGGAGAGCAGGATGCTGAAAGCAGCAGCTGAACTGTAAAGTCAGACATCAGTGCAAACACTGTGTGGCATCGCTGGGTTTTCTTTACTTTTTGTTATTGTTTCCAAAAACTGATCGGTTTATCTGTCTCCATACCAGAAGATGGTTTGGTCTGCAGAGGCCTCGTTTTATTTTTAGTAGATTAGTTTCATGAGCGGCTAACAGAATCTGGATAACATCTAGGCTGAAGAAGCTCAAGTTTACAGTTTTTTTTCCTGGTAAATAAGAGCTAATGTAGAAAGAGTAGATAATCATTACAGATAGAAAGGAGGACATTCTGAGTGGATAAATTAAACATTTCTGTTGAAGCAGTGAAACCCCCAATGATACAAAAAAATGTAAATCCACAACCCATTTCCCTCCCAACAAGAAATACAGTTGGCCCCGTTTATGCGGTTAATACTCTGTTTTTAAGTCTAATTAACTACATTGCCATGGGTTAGTTCATAAATACACCTCTAGCTATGTGTGAGCTCTAGAATACTCTTCATTTGCTTTTTATTTACACAACRATCACTTCATGAATATGTGCTTTGATAATCCTTTACCACCTAACAACTTTCACCACTCTGAACCAAAACAGGTAACTTTAAAATACCATTTGCAGCATTGGACTCCTTATTTGTTTGCAAGTGCTTAAATCAGCAGTATTTTTTAAAAACTGCTTTGAACTCTAAATACTGGCCTCTTCCTCCTGAACARAACGAGTTAAAATCTGGCTTTTAAAATGTGACGTTTTTAATAAATGTTTGATATCAAAACACAAAAAGCATTTTTTTTTAAAAGAAAAAAATCTTGATACTTGCAGGTATTTTGAACATGAACTTAACCACCAATAAATACTTTAACACCACACTTTCTGCCTGCTAAAAAGGGGCAACTATTCTTTACCTAAATAAACTCTTTGGGGAAATTTTACCTCATTTCTTTTTTAAATACACGCTCAGTAGGCAACACGTTTCACATTATCCTCTTTGTCCACTAGATGGCGACGAAAACCTAAGAAAAATGAACTCGTCAGATATTTCTTGCTAATGTTTGCCAAATMTTTAAGTCTAGTAACAGCTAAAACACCTACTATGTACATTTGATGACCACAAGAATGGGAAAGCTTATCACCGATTAACACTACAAAGCCAAAAATGATGCATCTCGTAGTCCGAAGAAGTGGCTTTTAAAGAGAGATGAAAATAAAAGGACATTCGTGCCACATTTCCAACCCWACAGCAGCTTCAGCACTAAGTCCGAAACGATTTGTTTTCTTCCGTTTGCTGCTTGATTAATAATAAAGCACGCCACTGTGTCGTTGGTGCTTGTCTGATTCGAGCTACATGTTGCGAAGGCGCTGAGAAAAGGTTGCAGCTCGAGATCTGTGACAGCTGCTTCCAGTTATAAAAACTTGAGGGCAGCGAAGTGAGTGGCTTTTCTGTAGCGAGCGTTAAACCCTGACAGCTAGCTTTGTGTACTGGACTGGCCCGAAAGGCACTGRTAAGGAAACTGGGGGAGGAGAAATTAGTTTGGAACAATAAAAAATTCTGTCGTGACCGACGGTGCAGACGAAAACGCGGGTCGGAAGTGAGACAAGCTCTGCTGCGGAGATAAGAAAGGAGCGTGTTTGTGTGAGACGAGGAGGAGGAACACAGAGGGGGCTGTATGCAGACTTTTGCATAGTGCAGGTTTGTCTGTTGTGCTTGAGACGCCATGTTGATGACTTTTCTGTCTGTACAGAAATGCCACGCCCGTGAACAGTAGCACCATTAGATGTTCTTCCATGGTCTGAACCGTGGTGTGGAGCGCGGCTGCAGCTGATGGTACCCTCAGAGTTAAACGTCTCTTCAGACCCGTTTGTGTGAACGAGGAGCCCTTTAGGAACGGCGGGCCCACTTGTGTGTCTGCCTGTCAGTCGATGTGAAGCAGACGCTGCGCTGTGCAGAAACACAAACAGGAAGGCACAAATGAGGAACCCCCGGGGAGGAGCCTGGTTCAGACGTGGGCGGAGCCTCGGTGGTGACACGGCAACAGGATGGGGGGAGTTATTGCTTTGAGGGCGTTGCCCGGGCAGCTGAAGCTGCTGCGGCCGCGGTGGAGCAGCAGCGCCGCGGGCGGGTCGGGCCGAGGCGGGAGGAACACGGGGCAGGAGCGCGTGCGGGCGTGGCTCTTCCGGCCGCCGGCATGACAGATGAGCTCGCTGACCGTGCCCAGCGGGGGGAGGCGCTGCCGCCAGCGCTCCGCCTGCGCCTCCTTGTGCTTGATGGAGTACCAGGTGAGGAAGATGAAGACGAAGCCGACGAACTTGAGGCTGGCGGCCAGGCCGAAGTAGACGAAGCGGAGTGAGGTAACGTCGTACTCCCAGCAGGAGCCGTGCACGCCGCAGTCCTGCTGCCAGAGCATGCAGGTGGTGTCGATCACAGCGCCGAAGTAGATGGGTGTGGGGATGTAGGCTGAGGACAGAGAGATGAAATTATTATTGGCTTTTCTTTTGTTTAACAAAAACGTTTAATCACCTTTGTTTCATACTGCGAGCAAATTTAGCTTTTAGTTTTTTTCCCCTTTAAGTCACCGAGGAAAAACAGTTACTGTATTTATAAAATCACTTTGTTATGTTAACTACATGTCCCCAAAATCTATATATTCAATTCAATTCCTTTATTCATTTCATTAAAACAAAACAAATTTATATACAATGAGAAGAAAAATATAAAAAAAGAGAAATATATATATACAGTAAGTATATCAAAATCACAAATAAAATGAAATGACATATTAATATATTAAATATATTTACTTTGGGAATCAACTATTTTTTTTCCCTCTTTAATATTTTGTAATAGAGATGTGCCTCAGCTTCAGGATAAAAAGTCTGATAAATTTTAAGCGTGCATAATAAGTCTTTATAATGAAAATCCATGCAACATTTTCAACTTGTTCTAGAGGTACAAACCAATAATATGACTTCAGCGGAACATATCCTGCTTTTAAATCCTTATTTTTCACATTTAAATCATTCATTTGGGGTCTATAAAAGAGGGATTCCTTCTTATTGTAACTCCACAAGCCCGGCCTCCTTTTCTGAGATGTGTCTCAGATCAACTCGTTTTGAGGCTGTCTCTTTAAATCCAAACAAGGGACTACACACCCCCCAAAAATAATTTAACATAAAAGTTCCGAAAACGTCAAATTCAATAGAGAAAACTGAACAGGTTGAAAAATATTATCCAAACAGAATTTAAAGATATCTACGCAGCACCTGGAGAAACCAAATTAAACTTTTCTGCTCTCCTAGAGACACCAAGTACACAACAAACAGATTTTAACGGCTAAAAAGGTGGGTTTTGCAGTATGTGTCCCCTTTTAAAGGTAAATAGATGCTTTTAATGAGAAATACTTGGTTTCTACCACCTGGTGGCAGCATTTACACAGAGGTTACTCTGATCTCATGTGAATGTGATAAAAAGCTGTTCAAAGGCAGCTGCAGCAAAGATCACTCACACTCAGGGCTTTTGTGCAACTGTCAACACAAAAAGGATGACAGAAACTACAAAGCTGCATTCCTGCTCTTTCTACAGTTGCAGGTTGTTAGTGAGGTGAAGAACAACAACAGGAAATGTTTTTGTARAAGTGTGGGAGACGTGAGAGGAAACTGTTCAGGAAGCACTTTGGAGCCTGCATAYGATTATTACAACTTTTCCAAGCTTGGGTTAACGTACCGAGAGTTCGGAGCAAAACGAACTGCATCCCGAGAGCGAAAGGCCTCTCTTGTTCATCAACAGACCTGCGAAGGGGAAAAGAAAAAAAAAAGATCAATTTGCCGCACCGACGGTCAGACTCGGACGACGACGAGACGAATCGGTGTCGGACCTGAGCGTGACGATGATGGCRGAGGGCTGAGCGCAGGCGGTGATGAGCGTGACGATGAAGAGGAATATGAGGAAAGGGATGAGCGTGTTGCAGGTTCGGTCGCACTTCCCTGACGTGGCGTGGCCATTTTCGTTCAAATATGTTTTGACGATGACCAGCTGGAGCTGGTTGACCTGACCGCCGGAGGACGGAGTGATGACCTGTCGGCTCTGCACACAGCCGCAGTCCGTGTAGTTCCTGATCTGTGGCCGCAACATAAAGACGCACGGCTTTAAAAGGGTTTTCTGTCAGGAGAAGCAGTGAGTGTGAGTGCCGCTGACGTTCCTACCCCGGTGCTGTCGTTGCCCACGGTGCTGCATCCAGCCAGGCAGGGGTTGAAGTAGGTGATACCATCAGAGCCGCAGACGGGAGCGTACTCGTGGATCCTGCAGCCACAGTTCACGTTGCAACTTCCTGTCAGGTTCCTGTGGGTCATGGTCAGCGTCGGTCTGCAGAAACAAAGAAAAGCTAAACTGAATCATTTATTTACAAGAATAAAAAGTAGAAAGCTTAATTTCTCATAAAAGTGTGAAAAAAAATTAGCTGTAAATTTCTTGAAATCAAACCTTCACTTCAAAAAAACGTTCACAAGTATTTCAATTAATTCCTCTGATTTGCTTCAGTTCAAACATTTACTGTGTGGTAACTGATTTGCAGACAGGAAGAAGGAAGCAGCACGTTCACAGTTTTCTGACGGTGTGGGAACTGTGCCTGTAAGTAAAACAGGACTTTGACTTTGTCTAAACCAGAAGCAGTCAAGCGCGGCCAGGGTTTTCTCTGGTAAGCTTTGACCGGAGCAATGTGGAACGGACGGGGRGCAGACAAGACAACAGTTATGGGGTCAGAAAGACTGGCTCATCTTACACAGAGGGGGCTACTCCCCTGAACATCTCTAATATATCCCTGAGTTCTCCAAACTCCATTTAAGGCAACTAAGAGAGTAAATAAAAAAAAAACAATTTACATTTGTGGGAAAAAAAGCCTCTAAAAGTACCTAAAGACAAAGCAAAAAGAAACAAAAACATTTACCAAAATATCTGGGTAAATTTAATAAAACACTGAGCTAAAAAAAAAACACACCAAGTATTTAAACATAAGTTATTAAAAGTCAAATTAATAAATAATGATCTAGGACAGAAAAGGGTAACTTGCAGGCCACCCCCAATAATAAAATAAAAATCACCACTACAACATGTTGCACAAAGCTAAATATGAGAAGTGCATTAACAGCATTTTTTTTTACCAGAACCCCGCAGGCGTTTGTCCTCAAGGCATTTTATGCATTTCAGCTTGCTAAAGTAAGTGTTTATTTTTTTATTTGCTTCAAACATTTTATATTCATATTTTTTTTAAAGAGGAGTACAACTGTTATCCAAGCATTTGAGCATGAAATATGTTAAATTTGTTGGCTTAATAAACACACAAACATTTTTTAAAAGGCAGTTTGATTATATTTGGGTAAGTGTGCAGAGCTCTGAGGCCCTCTTCTAGTGTCGGCAAAACATTGTGACCCTTTTATTATTTAAGTTGGCTATTGTTGTTTGGTAGGATTAACTACACAAATCAGAAGCAACGCAAAAGTATTACTAAACAACTAAAACTTAACTGAAGTGGCCAAGTAAAAAGTGATTAACTTAATCAACCCAAAAAGTTACCAGGAGAGCAGCTGGCCTGGACTTTATAAAAGAAAGAGAAAAAGAAAACCGGATCTGATGGTTTTATCTGGAACACAGGTCAGAACCAGAGGTACGGTCTGCTGTAGCTTTTAATTAAGTCAAATCCCAACACATAATAATCAGGCAGCGCCGCTCTGGAGACTGCAGACGGAGTAACTGTTAAAGAACATTATGCAAGCCGACAGGCCTCTTGGCTCTGTCATTTTTTATCAGCTTGTTAGTGAAGCAGAGCTGCATCTAAACACAGGAAAACTACAAACACAAGCTGTTTGTTTCTTCATCCTTTATAAAACACATATCAGTGCATCTATTGAAATTTGTTTATCTGCACCGTAGGATTAAGTTGTATTTGTGGATCTTTATGGATTTAGGTGTTGAGCTGAAGGGCAAAGATCATTTTAATATTTTCTGATATCTTTGTACCATTTCTGACTACTTACATCCTCCAAAGCCTTTATAAATTATTACAAAACATTGTTAGCCAGATGGATTTGCAATTTATAACATCTCATGTATTTAATGGGAAAAAAAAACATAACATTTTAGTTGAGGTAAATTTGTATTAACGGTCTGCAAACAGTACGATGAGTGTGAATGTTATTACAGTAGATGTATGACATCTAGTGCTGTACCAAACAATTATTTTCTAATCGACTAATCTAACAATTATTTTTTTCGATTAATAAATTATTCTAACAACAAATCTAAAAGTTATTCTGATGTGAGTGCACTGGAAATTTAAAATGTTTTCATCAAATTAACAAGAACAGTTCTTTAATATTGTAATATTTTCTGTAATAGTTTTTTCATGGACACAAAATATGCACTCGAGAGTCAATTCTTTAACAAAAAAACAAAAAACAAAAGATTTAACATCAACATAAAATCTCAACCAAATCATATAAAATTCAACTAAAAGAAATATAGTGC